GTCCGGGACAGCCGAAGTGCGAGTTCTAGTTATAGACGTTAATGACAATGCCCCTGTGTTTGCCCAGTCCCGGTATGAAGTCCAGGTGCCTGAGAACAGCCCCATTGGCTCTCTGGTTGTCATGGTCTCTGCTAGAGATTTGGACATAGGAAATAATGGACAAATATTATATTCACTTTTTCATCGTTCTGAAGAAATTAGCAAAACTTTTGAAGTAAATGAGAACTCAGGAGAAGTAAGGATGAGAAAAAAATTGGATTTCGAGACAATTCAATCATATGAAGTGGATATTGAAGCCACAGATGGTGGAGGTCTTTCAGGAAAATGCACTGTTGTGGTCCAAGTAACAGACGTGAACGACAATCCCCCAGACCTCACCATATCTTCACTGACCAGTCCTATCTCTGAGAACTTGCCTGAAACGATGGTAGCTGTGTTCAAAACTCGAGATCAGGACTCAGGGGATAATGGAAAGATGGTTTGTTTTATCCAAAATGACCTCCCCTTCATCCTGAAACCATCTGTAGATAACTTCTATTCTCTGTTAACCAAGAGAGCACTGGACAGAGAGAGTAGGGCTGTATACAACATCACTATTACCGTCATGGATTTCGGGATACCAAGACTGAGAACTGAACACAACATCACTGTCCTGGTCTCTGATATCAATGACAATTCCCCAGTATTTACTCAGACAGTGTATATACTCTACCTCCAAGAGAACAACAGTCCTGCCCTCCACAATGGCAGCATTAGTGCCAGTGACAGAGACTCAGGGACCAATGCCAAAATCACCTACTCACTGCTGCCTTCTGAATTCCGAGACTTACCCCTCTTCTCCTACATATCCATCAACTCAGACAATGGCCATCTCTATGCCCTGAGATCCCTGGATTATGAAGCCATTCAAACTTTCCAGTTCGCTGTGAGGGCAACTGATGGTGGCTCCCCAGCACTGAGCAGTCAGGCTGTGGTTAGGGTCATGGTCTTGGATGAGAATGATAAGTCTCCCTTCATTCTGTACCCTCTGCAAAATGGCACAGCTCCCTGCAATGACCTGGTTCCCAGAGCTGCAGAGCCAGGTTATCTGGTGACCAAGGTGGTGGCTGTGGATAGGGACTGGGGACAGAATTCCTGGCTTTCCTACGAGCTGCTCAAGGCCACAAACCCACGTCTCTTCACTGTGTGAGCCCACAATGGAGAAGTGCGTATGGCAAGGCCTATCAGTGACAAAGATAACATCAAGCAGAAGCTCCTGGTATTGGTGAAGGACAATGGGGAGCTGCCTCTGTCCGCAGCAGCTACACTGAATGTACTCCTGGTGGATGGCTTCTCTGAGCCCTATGTGAAGCTCTCTGATGTACCTAACAACAGCACTCAGGATGACTCCCTTACAATCTACTTAGTCATTTCTCTGGCCTCCATCTCCTTTCTCTTCCTGTTCTCTGTTATACTGTCCATTGTAATGCATCTGTGGAGAAAAAAAAGGGTTGCTGGAGATAATGGCCATTTTGGTTCAAATGGACCATACCCTAACAACTTAATGGACATCGGTCACTCTGGTACTCTGTCCCAGAGTTACCAGTATGAAATATGTCTGACAAATGGATCTGGGACCAATGAATTCAAATTCCTGAAGCCAGTAATTCCTAGTGTTCCTCCTCAGTGCTCTGGAAGGGAATCAGAAGAATATCCAGTATTCCAAAATAGCTCTAACCTTGGTTAAATACTGGGATTTTTCAACTAAGACTTAAGGGAGTAGATCTCATTGTAAACTAGTTTCCTACTGTGCTTCATTACTTAATATTCATCTTGATAGTCAAAGTCTAACCTTTAATAGCAGATTATTGGTGGTTCTGAAAATTTGTTAGTTATTTGGGCTTCAGATAATTTTAGCTACTCAGGTAATTGAATAAATTGTTATGCTTTATTTAAAGCATTTGTACCTAACATCATTTAAAATTTATTCTATACTAAATAGTAAAATGGAATTTGGCTTTGATTCTCTCTTTAATTAGATTTTTTTCTTGGAAGACACATTTCAGGATGCTTTAAGGTTTTTACTAATTTTGTCTATCTGTGAATTTAACTTTTAATTTATTTGCTTGGGTGTATGAAGCCAGAGGCTCTGAGTCTCTTTATTGCCAGCTGGACCTTTTATCTGAAATTTGGATTATTGCCACAAGTAGAAAGACAATAGTGTCATCACCATGGCTAAAGGGTAGTAGTTTTTGCATAGGCTCAGTTTCCTGAGAACACAGATTAACTAACATATGACTCTAACCAATTACTCTTTTAAAAAAATAAAACATTAAAATTAACAAAATATTAATAGTAGTTAGTTGACATTGTTAGTATAGGAAAGAATTGGAAAGAATAGGAAGTTTAATATGAGACTTGAGAAAATAGGTGTTCCCTCTTTGAATTTGGTGCTTTTTCTCCTAGTTAATAATAACTTACTGTTCTACTCTGTGTTTTTCCTCCCAGGCTTAAGTAAATAACTTCAATTCACTCTGAAATTCTTACATGCAAAAGAAAATGGACTATGTAAATGACTACCAACCAAATCTGGTTCTGATATTTTGAGTTTTCAGGATGATTTTATTTAAGACTCCCTTATCATGATTTTTCTTAAATCTTTTGGAAGATGTAGTAAACAGTTAAAGACTTACCAAGATAAAGTGTTATGTTACTTACTTAGTATTCCCAATGAGCAAATAGGCATTCCCTGTAGCTAACTAACTTGTATTTCTAATTTTCTTACTAAATTAGAATTTCCTTTCTGTTCCACACATTCAGTTTGTCAAAACTGCTGAAAAGAGATGGATTATTATCATCTCTTGTGTAGCTATAGATAATCTGAATCTAACTTTGTAAGTGATTAGTTTTTATGAAAGCTACTTTCCACATCAGTTAAGTTCCCTTCTCTACTGACCACTTGCAAAGAAGATATAATTGTTTTTGATGGTGTTTTATAGGGGCAACTAGGTGGTGCAGTGGATAAAGAACTAGGCTAGGAGTCAAGAAGATCAATATTCAGAGCTGTCCTTAGTAGGTGTGTGACCCTGGGCAAGTCACTTAACCTCTGTTTATTTCAGTTTCCTCACTTGTAAAGTGGAGATAATGATGGCATCTACCTCCCAGGGTTGTTGTGAGAATCAAATGACATAATAATTGTAAAGAAGCTGGCACATAATAAGTGCTATATAAATGTTACCTATTATTCTTATACTTTGGTCTCAGGCACAACCTATTTTCCAAATGGCTAAGTTTACATTTCTAAAGTAATCTTTAAAAACATTTCAACATAACACAATGCAATTTTGAAACAGAGGCATATAATAATTTTTATAATATATACTCTTCAAAATCATAGATTCTATTTGTTACTCGTTGTCATCATACCAAATTGATGGACTTCCTGTAAATATGAAATGCTCACTCTTGCCCAGTTCTCTAAAGTTTCATCCATGGGTATAACTGTGTTTTAAATTATTTCAATACACTTTAAAAATAATAGGTGACATTAATATAGTGGTTTGAGATTTGTGAAGAATTTTACATAATTTTACAAAATTTTTGATTCTCACAACCTCTTGAGATTGGTGGTGTAATTATCCTTATTGTACAGATGAAACTGAGAAATGGAGAACAAATGACTTTCCCAGTGTCATACTAGCTAATGTTTGAGGCAGGTTCTAAATCAGATCTTCCTGATTCCAAGTTCTGCATGCTATCATCAATGCCATGTAACTGTCTTTCTATGCATTTTGATATTTCTGACATGAAATGAAGACTGGAATAAAAAAGCCTTTTCCAAAACAAATCCCTGCACCATAACCCTCCCCCCCCCCAAAAAAAGCTTTTGGCCCTACTCTAAATGAATGTTTTAACTCTCTACTACTCTCAAAGTGTCATTGTTGGGTACTGAGAAAAAAAAATCATGCTCCTGGAAAATCTAGTTTGGATGTCAACTTCTGTGTGGACCTTATATGTTACCTTTATTTCAAAATAATTAATTGCTTTGCTTTTTATCCTATTTGCATTTTACTCAATCTTTTAGTATTTATAAATATTACCTCCTTTTAAAAAATATCAACAAGTGTTATTGTTACTAAAGTAACCTCAATTCACTGTTTTATTTTGCCTACAGCATTGTTCTGCTTTGCATGAAAACTTTATAATAAGATTGAATAGAATTTAATCAAGTCTGTCCCTTTGTATATTCTAAACTATTCATTGTATCATATCTATTTCAACTATTATTGTGAGGTATTTTGCAATAGTGATATGGATACCTAGAAATTATGGTCATTTGATAGACATGTCAGCCCAGTGTCAATGATTAAGATACTTTATTTTCTTAAAATTAATTTCAAATATGTCCTTAAACAACACCTTTTGTGATATTTATGGAAATATTTTCAAGCATAACTGTCACTTTTAACCTGGCTTATTCATTTGTCCAGTGTATGTTGTTAAATTTAATGTAGAGCAACAAACAGTTTGCACATTTGACCTATATAGCTCTAACCTTAAGATGCATCAACATGGATAAATTGAACTTGACCTAGATAAACTATAAAAAATATGATTCAGTTTTACTAATTTCCTTCTAATAAGTGAATTCAGTGAAATGTCTGATTTTGTTTACATGAAGATAAATAGTTGTTCTTCATAACATCTGCAGTTAAGAATACCTCTTGACATCATCTTTCTAGTAGCTTTATATTGCTTTGCCTAAATAACCAATAACTATAAACTCTCATGGAATTCTTCCTATGTATACTTCATACTTCAATTTCCCAAGTCTATGTACACTGCAGGCTTCTCTACTGTTTTTGAAAGTGAGCTTTCAGGGGCAGCTAGGTGGCACAGTGGATAAAGCACTGGCTCTGGAGTCAGGAGTACCTGAGTTCAAATCCAGCCTCAGACACTCACCACTTACTAGCTGTGTGACCCTGGGCAAGTCACTTAACCCTATTGCCTACACCCCCCTCCAAAAAAAGAAATAAAAAAAGAAAGTGAGCTTTTAGCTTTCTACCTATGCAACCCTGGATTTTAGTGTATTGCAAGGAGAATGTAGAGGGAAATTGTTATATGATGTCCTTTTAAGATGAGCCTCTTTTATAGGGGGAAGGTCAATTAATAATAGCAAAGTGCAGTGGAGAATGGAGTCAGCAGTGATCCTTATAAATAGGATCATGGAGTATGTTCGATTAGTTGAATCTTATTTGCATTTCAACTTCAGTTATTTTTATTTCCATCTTTTATGGCCTTTATACCCTTCCTCTCCCTCCTTACTGTGACCATCAATTCATTTTATGTAAAAAGAAATGGTCAGACTAGAATCACAAGATAATCTTTAATACACCTTCAAATTCTAACATTTTGTGATTCTATAGTTTCTTCATTTTCCTAAATTCAGGATTTTATTTTATTTTATTCTCCAAATGTGGTACTAATACAGCCAGGAGATCTGAAAGGGATTTTAGAAGGTGGAATTTATGAGTAAGGACGCATGGTGGCGCTGCAGGCTAAGAAGGCAAATGAAAGGACCGCAGCTACAGCAGACTCCATTACTCTGAGAAAACAGAATCTGAAAGAACAGTCAGAGAAAGAAGACTTTGTCAGTCTCTGCTCAGGTATAGGGGTACCAGTAAGAGAGATCGGAGAATAGAAATAATTAGCTCAGAATTACTTCAGACAAGAAAAAGGACTTGATGTTATTAGGAATATAATAAGGATTCTTCACACGGATACAGCAATGGAGACTACTCCAGGAAAAGCACAGTGGAACAGGCAAGTGATATTCTTTATTGTAGCTTTGCTCTTGTCTGAGGTGGGTTCAGAGCTGGGGCGGTTTTCTGTTGCAGAGGAGACGGAGAGCGGTTCTTTTGTGGCCAATGTGGCTAAAGCTCTGGGTCTGGAAGTGGGGGAGTTGTATGCGAGGGGTTCCCAGGTAGCCTCTAACCATAACAAACAGTTTTTGCAACTGGATCAGAAGACAGGGGATTTATTTCTAAAGCAGAAACTGGACCGGGAGGAGCTGTGCGGCCCTACCGAACCCTGTGTGCTGCCTTTCCAGATCTTACTGGAAAACCCTTTGCAGTTCTTCCGAGCTGAACTGCAAGTGAAAGATATAAATGACCATTCACCCACTTTCCCAGACCCTGACATACTCCTGAGAATATCAGAAAGCACCAAGCCAGGGACTGCTTTCCCTTTAAAGATGGCTGAGGACTTGGATGTTGGCATTAACAGCCTTCAGAACTACACCATCAGCCACAACTCGCATTTCTTCCTTCACACTCACACCCGCAGCGATGGCAGAAAGATCCCAGAGCTGGTGTTGGATAAAGCTCTAGATCGTGAGGAGCAGCCAGAGGTGACACTAACCCTCACGGCCATGGATGGTGGGTCCCCCTCGCGGTCTGGGACAGCCCAAGTGCGAGTTACCATTGTGGACGTTAATGACAATGCGCCTGTGTTTGTTCAGTCGAAGTATCAAGTGCAGATTCCAGAGAATAGCCCCATTGACTCGCTAGTAGTGACTGTCGCTGCTCAAGATTTAGACGCTGGAATCAATGGGGATGTTGCTTATGCCTTATTCCAAGCTTCTGATGAAGTCAGTCAAACGTTTGGAGTTGATCCCGTCTCAGGAGAGATTCGATTGAAAAAACAAGTGGATTTTGAGGCAATTCAGAAATATGAGGTGGAAATTGAGGCCACAGATATTGGGGCCCTTTCAGGAAAATGCACTGTTTTGGTCCAAGTGATGGACCTGAACGACAATTTCCCAGAACTGACTATGTTGTCACTAACCAGCCCTATTCCAGAGAACATTCCTGAGAGTGTGGTTGCTGTTTTTAGCATCAGAGATCGTGACTCTGGGGAAAGTGGAAGGATGATTTGCTCCATTCAAGAGGATCTTCCTTTCTCCTTGAAACCTCACTTGGAGAACTTCTACTCCATAATAACTGAGGGAGCTCTAGACAGAGAGAACAAGGCCGAGTACAACATCACTATTACAGTCATGGATTTGGGATCCCCAAGGCTCAAATATGAGCACAATATCATGGTGCTCATCTCTGATGTCAATGACAACCCACCAGTATTTACTCAGAGAGCCTACAAACTGTACCTCCTGGAGAACAACAGTCCAGCTCTCCACATTGGTAATGTCAGTGCCAGTGACAGGGACTCAGGAATCAATGCCAAAGTCACCTACTCTCTGCTGCCTCCAGAGACTGGAAATCTGTCCCTCTTCTCCTACATATCCATCAACTCTGACAGTGGCCATCTCTATGTCCTGAGATCTGTGGATTATGAAGCCATTCAAACTTTCCAGTTCGCTGTGAGGGCGACTGATGGAGGCTCCCCAGCCCTGAGCAGCCAGGCTCTGGTTCAGATTGTGGTTCAGGATGAGAATGACAACTCTCCCTTTATTCTGTACCCTCTGCAGAATAGCACAGTTCCTTGCAATGACCTGGTGCCCAGGGCAGCAGAGCCAGGTTATCTGGTCACCAAGGTTGTTGCTGTGGATCAGGACTCTGGACAGAATTCCTGGCTTTCTTACCAACTGCTAAAAACCACGGACCCAGGGCTTTTCACTGTATGGGCACATAATGGGGAAGTGCGCACAGCAAGGCCCATCAGTGACAGAGATGCCATCAAGCAGAGGCTTTTGGTGCTGGTGAAGGACAATGGGGAGCTGCCTCTGTCCACAGTAGCCACATTGAATGTACTCTTAGTGGATGGATTCTCTGAGCCTTTTGTGAAGCTTCCAGATGAGCCCAAAGATGATCCACAGACTGATTCCCTTACAGTGTACTTGATCATTTCTTTGGTTTCTGTCTCCTTTCTGTTCCTGGTCTCTGTAATCCTGTTCATTTCTATAAAGCTATGGAGAAAAAGAAAAGCATCAGAAGTTGATCGGGTAGGACCCAACTGCCGATTTTCAGGTCACTTGGTAGATGTCAGTAGCACCGGGACCCTATCCCATAGCTACCAGTATGAGATGTGTTTGACCACTGGCTCTGGGAACACTGATTTCAAGTTTCTGAAGCCAATTATCCATGGTGTCCCTCCTCCAGTCTCTGACAGGTCCTCAGAGGCAGATCAAGTCTTCCAAAATAGCTATATGCTTGGTTAAATGTGAGAATTCTTCAATTTGTATTTAATATGTAAATTGTGTAAATTTTTGGCATTTCTTTGGCATTTGTGACTAGCTACTTAGATACTGAGAATTCCTGGATCTGTAATCTTTACCTATGTGGTCAGCAATTTGATTCCTGATAGTCAGTACTGCATCCACATCAGAGAGCTTATTGACAGAAAGGAAAACTTTTTACTGGTGATTTTCCTTAAGGAGGTATTTTAACTAGCTAACAAGTTGAAGATGTAGTGTTCTTAAATTCTACATAGTCTGCCTGCCAGTGTTGACATTTTAATTATATTCAACCTTCAAGTTATAAAGTGGGAAGGGGAATTATCTTCCCTCTCATATTTTAAAAATTAGATTAAATTTAAAATTAGATTTTTTCTGTTATTGATCAATTTTAGAACTTCTTTATTCTTTTTAAAATATCTGTATGTTTACCTTTTACTTCCTAGGTTTGGGTTTATGAGGCTAGTACCTATGCAGGTGTTTACTTCTTTAATATGTTAACTGATCTCAGAAATGAGTTGCCTGCTTTAAATAATAGAATAATTCCATTATTTTGGTACTTTCTTCTAAAAATGGTGTTAATACATAGAAGGCTTATGATTTACTAGGTTTGGGAATTCCAAGAACACAACACCAAGAACACAGTCTGTATAAATGATAGTACCCTGGGCTCAACAAGGTGAAGAGATTTGCTCTTGGTCACAAAGATAGTCAACCTCAAATGCAGGATTTAAATCCAGCTCTCTCTGATTCTATGTCCAGCATTCTACCCACAATGCTATGATATCTGTTCAAATATCTCTCATAAATGATTTATTATTCTCAAAAAATGAGCTCCCTGCCATTATTTTTATTTCACTTTCAGAAATTGCAAGAAAAATTAAAACTAAATGGCCTTGTAAGAGGAATGTCTGTTATGAAACTAAAACTGATTGTAGCATAGCAAAAGTAGAGAAAATAGAAGCTTGTAGTGGCTTGTATTAATGAAGATACATCAATATTTCAATTGAGTCCTTCCTTGACCTGATATTAATTGTATGAAAGCCTGATATATCTTTAAGCAACTCTGGCCTTAGTTTCACTACCTGTAATAAAGAACAATTTGTACTACATTATCTTCAGTGCAAACTTATTGAGATGACCAATCATTTTGATAGGATTTCATTTTGTGATAGTAATGGTTATATGTGTGTGCCTCTACTATAAGCTAACTCAGAATGCCTGACCTCGACCAGATAAAATTGGATTGACCTGAACTTTAGTCTTCTATCAGTTGAGTGCTGAATTTCATGGCATACATGAGTATTCACTACCGACTTTGATTGTGTTTTAAATGTTATGGTTTTTAAGAATGGCTATTGCTCTAAGGAATGAACAAAATATGCGGCTCTTAAAAAACACATTTCAATAATTTAGAAGCATTACAGTGTCTGTTTGTGTTGAGTCAAACATTTCAAGGATCATATAAGTTCAGAATGAGAAAGAATCAGTCACATTGAATTGTAAATGAAAATGTGGTTGAATTAAAATACACACACACACAAACTGACCCATTGTTAAAAAAAACAAAAACAAAAACAAACAATTAATTCTGAACAAAAAAGCAGACTTTCAAAGGGACCTGGCCTCTGGAGGGGTTCTAATTTCTTAACAGTTCACCAGAGACTTCTTGAAGTTGGAAAAACAGTGAGAACACCAAGGGGAGAATTAGTGCTAACCAATACTATGAAGAACAGATGCTTGTTATAGGCAAAACAATATATAAACAATGAAATTTCAGATATTAGAAAAAGTTCATTTTGACTAATGAATCTCAGTTTTTTTCTTGAAGGCTATAGCAAAACCCTTGTCAGAAAGAGTACAGGGAGGCTTGAGTTACCTGGATGTCATCACATTGTAAAACATCCACCAAAACTGTTCAGAGTATTTTTTTTTTTACTTCAAGAAGTCCTGGATATTTTTTATCCCTTGAGAAAACTGAAATTCTAATAGATATATTGATATACTGCATAGCAGAATTGTTTTGGAATTACAGAAATTCCAAAATAAAAAGAGACGTTATGCAATTGCTTTACATCATCAAACAGATAATGAAAGGTTGAAGTATTTATCCAAGAGATAGATACAAGCATGCTTCTTTGGAATTTGTCTGATTTCAACCTCATAGATAGATATACTGTTTATAATATACAATGTGTTATATATAGTTTCAAGATGAAAAACTATGGAATGCATGAAAATCATTAACTCAATTCTAAATCATGCCAAACTAGCTATTGCAGTAACAGTAAAGAATTTTGAGTATTAAAAGTTTTTTAGAGTTATAGAGGTTATTATTTTCAACTAATTTAATTATTTTGTTTTGTATTAATAATTCCCAAAATTATGTGTAAGATCCCTTCAATTCTAAAACTTTGGGTGCCTATAATAATTCCTTCATTTTGTAAAGATAAATTTGAACTCAATTAAGGATTGGAAAAATATTTCAACCCCCCCCCCCAAGAATGTTACTAGTGAGACATCAACATTGTTGTGAACACCTAATAAATAAAGTGATTTAAAGAGTAGTAAAAGAAATTACTGAAAGACAGTAGTAATTTTTTTTTAGAAATCCTACTATAGAATATAATTTAGGAATGCTGATATTTTTAAAAATCTCTGTTTCCTCTACTCTCAGAAATTCCTAACATACAATAAAAATATACTTTGAAATAGAAGCTAAAATGAAATTTATAAGGATATTTCTAGAGTATTTCTAGAGTAAATTGCATAAGTATATACAGACTGTTCAAGCATATATGAGAAGTGTAAAAAATATAGCTCTCAAGTAATTACATTCAAGACAAATATTAATATTTCAATATTTTGAGCATAAAATTTTAATTATCTAAATGAGCTTTTACATGTTATTACTGAAACAGATTTAAAATGTGTGATCTGCCAGTTACATAATACAGAGGCACTATAGATTAAGAAGGTAATTTAAAAGACTGGAAATATAGAACACTACATTACCCAAAGAAAATAGAATTTGAAAGAAACAATTAAAAGAAAAAGATTTGTAAGGTTTAGTGAGAGTTAAAAGTTACCTATAAAAAATCGAGAACTCCGAATTCCTTCAACCAAAAAAAAAATAGATTACTAGGGAAGAGGACTCTTGATTGTACCAGGAGTGTCTGTTCTTGAAAAGTTTACATGCTCTTCACCAATACACAATTAAACAGGTAATTGGAATTCCTTGTTGCACTGTTCAGATCTGAGGCAACTTTAGAGCTGGGAAATTCAGTATTCAGTGGGTGGGGAAATGAGAAGAATTGTCTTTATGGCCAATATGGCCAAGGCTTTGGGGCTATTAGTGGAGAACCTGGTGGGAGTGGGTAGTGGTGGGGGTGGTCTTTAACAGTGGCAAACAATATTTGTAATTGAATCAGAGGACAGGAGATTTAATTCTAAAGGAGCAACTGGATGAGGAAAAGTTTCATGGCACCTCAGATCACAGCCTGATACCTTTCCAGATCTTATGGGAAATTTAGTTGCAATTTTCCCAGGCTGAACTATGAGTGCTGGACATAAATAATCATTCAACTATATTCTGGATATGGAAATGCTCCTGAAAGTATCAGGAATGATGACAAAGAAGATGCATTTACTGAAGATCACCCAGGATATGAATATTGAATGAACAGAATCCAAAACTTCACACTCACTACCAACTCCCATTCCTTCAAATGCTCAGCCTTGAGGATCACAGAAAGTTCCTAAAACTATTGTTAGGCAAAGCACTGGATCAGAAGGAACAGTCTAAATGGGATTTTAACTCTTAAAGCCACAGATGGCAGGTCTGCACTCAGGTGCAGGGAGCTCCCCAACTGTGATCTAGGTTGGAGATGTAATTGAAAATGCCGGTGTGTTTACTCAATCTCAATATAGAATGTGGATACCTGAAAATGGTTCCATTGGCTCTCTCTTTGTGACTATCTTGACTATAGAGTTAGACTCAGACATCTGTAGAGACATTGCTATATTCCAAGCTTGGGATGAAGTCAATCAAAACGTTTGGAAAAAAAACCCTATCTTTGAAGATATTTAACTGAAAAAATAGGTGGACTTCAAGGCAATTCAAGGCAATATATGGCATATTTATTGATGCCGTAGACCTTGGGACCTTTTCAGGAAAATGTATGGTTTTGATTTTAAGTGAAAGACCAGAGGATTAAATGACTTCACAGAAAAGGCCACATCATCCTTGACTAGCCTCACTTTTGAGAATTTGACTGAGACTATAATCACTGTTTTTTCATACATCATTTAGACTCAAGGGACAATGGGAGGTTGCTTTGCTTTATCAAAGAATATCTCCCTTTTATCCTGACATGAGACTTCAGGAATTTCTATACCTTCATAACAGAGGCAGCAGAGTACAGAAAGCCTGGCTGAATAAAACATCATTATTACTATATCAGTTTGGGAGACTCCCAGGTTGAAAACTTAGCATAACGTCAGTGCTCATCTTCAATGACAACTCACCACTGTCTATAAAGATAGCCTATAAACTTCACCTTGCTGCTTCTCCTATTGGAAACGTCCGCTTTTGGTTGCATCAACTCATAATAGGAAACTTTATTCTTTAAGCTGAGTGGACTATTGAGAAATCCAAACTCTTCATTTCTTTGTAAGGATGACTGATAGTAACTTCCTGACTCTGTGCCAGGTGCTTGCTGGTTTATGTTCTAGTTCTGGATGACAATAACAACTCTCCTTTGTGCTGTATTCACTTCAGAATAGTACATCTCCCTGAAATGACCTGCTGCTTGGGGATAGAGGCAAGTTTTCTGGTTACCAAGGTGATGGCTGTGGATGGGGACTTAGGGCAGAATTCTTCACTTTCCTGACAGCTACTCAAGTTCATGGATCCCCAGGCTCATCACTGTGTGAGCACATAACAGGGAATGAGACTCATTAATGAGAGATACCATCAAGCAAAGGTTGGTGGTACTACTGAATTACAACTGACTACAGTGGCCTGATAGATGACTTCTCTGAACTCTATATGCAGCTCCAAGACTCAGCTAAGGAATTGACTCAAGTTGAAGTCCTTTCAGGTTATTTCCTCCCTTGTCCTTACGTTCTTCAGAGTCTCATTCAAAGCCTTTCCCCAGTAGAGGAACAAGAGGGGCCCAAGAAATTGTGGACAATTTGAATACAAATCAAACTTTCAGGATACTGGAAGAAAATAGCATCATCCCAGAGTTACTAGTATGCAGTATGTCTAACCGTTGGCTCAGAACCAACAAATTCCAGTTCTTGAAGCTAATTACATAGTTTCATTGTCCTTCCTCAGACAGCTGCCAAAGGGGGAAAATAGAACCTTCCTCAAAAGCAACAAACTTGATTACCTGAAACTTAATCTGTGCATTTTGCATATCCCTTTTATTCTGAAACCAACAACTTTCAAATCACTCAGAAACACTTGCAATACTTTTTTCAATTTTATCACCTGAATTCAAACAATTTAAAATGATATTAATAATGTGAAGATTGGTAGAATGGTTGTGTCACATAGGTCTTCCAAGCTAACTGGATCTGGTTGGTCACTGGGGCTTCAAAACAATTGTATGTGAATATTTGTTGGAGTGGTTTTTCTCCAGCCAATTGCAAGAAGTAGCAAAGCTCTTTAAAGACATACTAACTGGAATCATTACTCACAATAAGGTATATGAAAATCCCTTCTATCTAATTTAAGCAGTGCATCTAAACATCTTATTGAGGGAGAAATTAACTGTTGACTTCAGGAACTAAAATTGACAAAATTTTAAAAATGAGATTTTGTAGTTACATTTTGTGTAGATATAAACAGTCAGAATACCCCCAGTTTGAATGATTATTTTTCCTGTAAACCAAGTTCTATATTATTCAACTCTTCCAATTAGCCAATGACTTGAAAGCAACATACAATTTATTTTCAGTAGTTTCACAGTTAAAGCTCTGACACAAACTTCTTTTCATGTGATTAGAACACAATATAATTTCAAAACATGGATATACAGTCATTTCTTCACAATATATTTTTCAAATGCATAGATTACTTTTGTTACTCTTTATCATGATACATTTGTTATAAATGTTCAATGACCACTTTCCTCCTAAGTTCTTTTGAGCACATATCATGGATAGGTATTGTATCTAAATTACATCAATCCTATTTTTTATGTTTTCAAAATACAGGGAATATTTAAATAAAAAGGCTTTTCTCAAAAATATCCTATTATCTGAGTGAAAAGAACTTTTGTCTCAAGTGATCTGAAAAATAATATCAACCATTAACTTCACCTCTTCAGTCTACATTCAGATAAAAGCTACATTGAGAGGAGTTAAACACTCAGAAAGTTAATGCATGAAATCCTGAGTTATTAAGAAGAAAATTGTTTTGAATTTTTGTTCTGACCATCTAGCAAGGATAGGATAAAAGGAGGTAAAAACTCAGCCTCCATTTCTCTCTCCTTGATGTTTTGCCTTATTTCTTTACTTTTTACCTTCATGTAAGTATATCTATTGCCTTATTCTGTTCATCTAGTCTTGAGCCATTTTAAATGCTTTCTTTTTATATCTACTGATGCATTTATTAATCAATGCAGATGGAACATATGTTGAAAGTATTTTATTTTGCTGTGCCACATGTTCCCCAGACTCAAAAACTGCTTTGAAATTGTTCAATACTGAATCATGTTTGGAATGTGTTGTGTTTTAATCTGCATCTAGCTTATTTCGATTATCTCCATGACTAATTTTTTTTTAAGTTTCTCTACTTAAATTGTAAAAGGCCTGATCACATAGGTATAGAAATTAGCAACATCTGGTGGAACTTCAGGTCCAATATAGACAATTAACATGTTTTACCTTCTCAAAATTATTCCTGCTAACCTTCTCAAGCACTACCTTTAATGACTTCTATGAACTTGAAAAAGGCATAAATACTACTTTTTACCAACATTGTTTAATTTTCCATTTTTTCTAGATAATTGAAATGTAAACCTGCAAACAAATTACTTTTTTGCCTTTAGGCTTTATCATCATTAGTGAAGTGAAATGAAGAACTGAGCAAAAAATCAAGGGGAAAATTTGAATGATCAATGAAAATTTGAGTTTAGTTGGACTAATTTCCACTCAATAAAAGGATTAAACTAAGTTAAAATGGTTGGTTTTGTTTAGGCAAATAAAAATTTTGGTTCTGAATAACATTTTATTTAACTATATATTTTAACAGCATGTAAATGCTAGGTTTTTTTTTTCTCCTGTGCATGAATAAGCCATAGCTATTCTTTGTTGGAATACGTCTTCCAAACAGTCATTTTTTTTTACTTTTCCTTACCTTTGTCTAGAGACATTGATATTGACTTTGGTTGGAGGGGATTGTTCTCAAAAGTCAAATCCTTGCATTATATCATAAATTAATTCCATGATTTTGGTATTCATCTCTGAGAAATTATCCCAAGTTAAGAACCTTTGAGTTTGTGCGTGTGGAAATTCCCTCAGTGGTGCATTTTTAAAATGTCTTTACTTCACATCCTTAGAGAGTTTTCTGAAGCTCAGAAAGGCTAAATTACTTGCTCACAGCCACACAGGCAGTAAGTGTCAAAGACAGGATTTGAATCCAGCTCTGTCACAGGGCAAGTCCTCAACTCCTTCCACTATGCTGCATTGTCTCTAAACTTCTCTGAAAATGGTATATTGTTCTCAAAAGTGAACTCCTGGAAAAGGAGTATCATAATTTTGTTACTTCAATCTCAAAAATCTAAGGGAATATATATATATATATATATGTATATGTATATATACACACACACATAAGTATATGTATGTATAATAGCTTTGTTGTAAGAGGGGCAACTATTATGAAACAGGCCAGGTATACTATAGCAAAATAAAACAGAGAACAGAGGCTGATATCCTAAAAAATGAGGCTTGACTGGCTTGAATTCACTGAGTTCTTTTGGTATTTTAACTACAAATATCTCTTTAATCTAAAATTATTATTATAGTAGTCTGATATTTTATTGGGCAAGTCATGAACTTATTTTCATCATCTGTAAAAACAAGAGGTTAAATTATATGATTTATAATATCACTATAATTCTAACATTCTAGTAACTTGTGATTATTTCTTCTTTGTTGACAATTTTAAAAGATCCTCTCATAAATCATGTTTTAAGAATTCCTTGTTTGTGTTTTTTGAAATGCATTTTATTGTCATATTTTATTTTTATATCACAGTCAATTCTGGAAGTGTCATTCCCTCTCCCTGTCCCCTCCTTTATTGATTCTTTTTTGTTCTTGCTTGTCCTTTTAAGAAATCTTTGCTTCAGGTGCCATCAGGAAGCCCTAACAGGCCATAAGAAAAAAATTAACTCTATGGTAAAATGTTGAAAAAAAATTGGAACCCTCTCTCCCCCAATGACAAGTTGGTTAAATTTTAATGACTGCTTAATGATGATTATTCAAATATACTCTCTATTGTTTTCCTCTGCTCTAACAATTTTTGCTCCTGTTCTTGAGCTCAAGGAGAAAGCTGAGCCTAAAAATCTAAGACCATTAATTTTATATTGAGTTAAAGAGCTTTAGTCTGAATTTTTTTTGGTCGTGAAAGTTTTTACAGAGTGTAATTTGTCAATAAAGACACATGGTGGTGCTGCAGAATAGGAAGGCGATTAAAAGAACTGCAAATCCTGCAGGCTCCATTAACCTAAATATAACAAAGACAGTTCTGGAAGACAAGATTGCGGGGCTTAAACAGAACCAAGAGGTTTCCATAAGGACTATCCTGAATTACAAATAAGGACTTTATAGTTCCTTCCAAGAAACTTCCAAGAAATATTGATTGTATCAGATGTTTCTCTTGCTGAAAGGATTACGTATTGTGCACCCAGCCAAACAATGGAGACTGCACCAGAGAAAACTCAGCGGAACAGGCAAGTGATATTTCTTATTATAGTTTTTCTCTTGTCTGAGGCGCGTTCGGAGTTGGGCAGGTTTTCTGTGGCAGAGGAGATGGAGAGCGGCTCCTTTGTGGCCAATGTGGTAAAGACCCTTGGGGTGGGAGTGGGGGAATTGTTAGCCCGGAGGGCCCAGGTGCTCTCTGAGGATAAAAAACAGCATTTACAGCTCAATCGTGAGACAGGAGACCTTCTTATAAAAGAGAAACTGGATCGGGAGGAGCTGTGCGGCTTCACGGAGCCCTGTGTGCTGCCTTTCCAGATCTTACTGGAAAACCCTTTACATTTCTTCCGGGCTGAGCTCCAGGTCGAAGATATAAATGACCATTCGCCCACATTTTTAGATATGGAGACATTTTTGAAAATACCAGAAGGTACCACACTGGGAACAACGTTTCCCCTGACAATTGCGCAGGATATGGATGTCGGAAAGAATGGTCTCCAAAACTACACAATCAGCCCTAACTCCTACCTCTTCCTTCACACTCGCACTCACAGTGATGGGAGGAAGTACCCAGAACTGGTGTTGGAAAAAGCTCTGGATCGTGAGGAACAGCCAGAACTCACATTAACCCTCATGGCCACGGATGGTGGGTCCCCAGCAAGGTCTGGGACCGCCCAAGTGCGGATCACTGTTGTGGACATCAATGACAATACACCTGTGTTTTCTCAGTCTCAGTATGAAGTGCAGATTCCCGAGAACAGCCCCTTTTGTTCTCTGGTTGTAACTGTCTCTGCTCGAGATTTAGACGCTGGTATCTATGGAGATATAACTTATACCTTATTCCAAGCAACTGCAAAAGTCAGTCAAACATTTGGAGTAGACCCTATCTCAGGAGACATTCGACTGAAAAGAGCAGTAGATTTTGAGGAAATTCAGACATATGATCTATATATTGAGGCCATAGATGGTGGAGGCCTTTCTACGAAATGCAGTGTCTTGGTCCATGTGACAGATCTGAACGACAACCCCCCAGAACTGACAATGTCTTCATTTACCAGCAATATTCCAGAGAACTCCTCTGAAACCGTGGTTGCTGTTTTCAGCATCCGAGATCATGACTCTGGGGACAATGGAAGGATGACTTGTTCCATCCAGGAAGATCTCCCTTTTGTCTTGAAACAGCAATTTGAAAATGTCTACATCCTTGTAACAGAGGAAGCACTGGACAGAGAGAATAAGGCAAAGTACAATATTACCATTACTGTCACGGATTTTGGGTCACCAAGACTCAAAACTGAGCATAACATCACAGTGATCATCTCCGACATCAATGACAACCCACCAATATTTAATCAGACGGCCTATACACTCTACCTCCGGGAAAACAACAGTCCTGCTCTCCATATTGGCAGTGTCAGTGCCAGTGACAGGGACACAGGGACCAATGCCAAAATCACTTATTCACTGCTGCCTCTTGAGGATGAAAACCTGTCCCTCTTCTCCTATATCTCCATAAACTCAGACAATGGAAATCTTTATGCCTTGAGATCCCTGGATTATGAAGCCATACAAACTTTCTGGTTCACCGTGAGGGCAACTGATGGTGGTTCCCCAGCACTGAGCAGCAAGGCCCTCATTCATGTTGTGGTCCAGGATGAGAATGACAACTCTCCCTTTGTGCTTTACCCACTGCAGAATGGCACAGCCCCCTGCAATGACCTGGTACCCAGATCTGCAGAGTCAGGTTACCTGGTGACCAAGGTGGTGGCCATGGATGGGGACTCAGGACAGAATTCTTGGCTTTCCTACCAACTGCTTAAAGCTCCTGATTCTGGACTTTTCACTGTTTGGGCCCATAATGGAGAAGTGCATACAGCAAGACCCATTAGTGACAGAGAGTCTATCAAGCAGAAGCTCCTGGTGCTGGTGAAGGACAATGGACAACCGCCTCTATCCACAACAGCCACACTGAATGTGATTCTGGTGGATGGCTTCTCTGAACCATACATTCACCTCTCAGCTGCACCCAAGGAACAGGCCCAGACTGACTCTCTCACCATTTACTTAGTTATTTCTCTGGCCTCAGTGTCTTTTCTCTTCCTGGTCTCCATAATCCTGTTCATCTCAGTACACCTTTGGAGGAAAAAAAGAGATACTTTAAACAGTGGCTACTTTGGACCCCATGGACCCTCATCAGGTCACTTGATGGATGTCAATGGAACTGGGACCCTGTCCCAGAGATATCAATATGAGGTGTGCCTGACTAGTGGCCTGGGGACCAGTGAGTTCAAATTCCTTAAGCCCATTATTCCCAGTGTACAAGTGCAGGGATGTGGAAAGGATTTAGAGGAAAATCCATCCTTTCAGAATAGCTTTGGCATCAATTAATTACCCCACCAATGACCCCACCCTATCTAAACAATGCATTCCATGAAGATAGTTTAAAATGATTTTTTATTTTTTCTTATTATGTTGTACTATAACTAACTTTTTGTGTTTCATTTTGTTCCATATAATCAGTAGTTTAGTGAAGTAATGTATTAAACTTGTTTCCTAGACACTTAACACTTTCATACATATAGTCTGTAGTCATTTTATTTAGACTTGGAAGGGACGTTAGATGTTATATAGTCCAACTCCTTTATCTTACAAATCAGGAAACTGAAAGCCAGTGAAGTTGAGTGTCTTCTAAGGACAGATCTATTGCTTGTTGCTAGTAGAAGGATGTGGCATTTTTACAACACCTTATGTTATTGTTATTTTAACATAATGAAGCACAAACGTTTTCACATTTCCATTGCAAATGAAGGTTTGGCACTCTCATCAGCAGTACATATTCTAAAATTGGAATTATATAATGTTGAAGAGTGTGACTGCTGCTCAAGGATGACAAAATCATTGAGTACCCCCATATTTTGGATAAAACATTTCACATATCCTTCTGGCTCTTAATTTTCCCCATGCCTTTATATCACACATGATATAGGAGCTCCTGTGGAAAATGCATTATGTTTTCTACAGTTTCTAAATAATATTTCGCTGAGCTTTTAAAACCATGGATTAAGTAGTTACAGAAATTATAATTTCAATCTTATGGTATTTTCAGGTTTTTTTTTTTACCTCTTGTATTTTCTACTGTAATAATGTAAATTAAGGTCTTCTACAATTGATAGTTCATTTTATCACTGGTTGTCCCTATGGAATGTGTTTACAAAATATATGGTTAAAAGTAATTTGTTATGGAAATTCTGGACATAAATTAAATATCCAAGTATCCAAAAAAGAAATTGAGTTTGGAGTTTTTCAGTGTATGAATGGCAGCTAATTGGTGGTTGTTAATTGAATCTGAAACTATGATCTGTTTGATGTTTTGGGATTGAATATGTAGCACTTTTGGCTGAAATTGCCTCTACCCTCAGGGATATTATTATCCAAATATTTAAATTGTATCCCTTTCCATTCCTTATATTACTGTGATCTTAAAATAGCATCATTTTCTACAATGCCACTTTATTTGCCTCACTCCTTTTCGTTCAAATGATAATTTACTTCATATCAATAAGATACAATCATCTGACTATTTTATTATGCTAACCAAGCTTTTGGAAAAAAATTGAATGGGGAAAATTCCAGAAGAATATTATCTTAGTGATGTGGAGTTTTTTTTAACCACCTTAAAAATGAAATTACAGAAAACTCTTCAGGCTAATGTATGACTTAGTGTGTATTCTAATAATGTTTAATGGGTATAATTCTTAATTAATTTTTATAAAGAGTTGAAGTCCAGATTCTCAAAAGCTTAAAATAATAATAGCAGCCCAGTCCCTCTCTATTTTAAGGCCATGCACAGCCACTTGGACATATGTGTGTACGAACTTTGAAACATCCATGGTAATGTTGTGGTTTGGATGTGTTTGCACACTTTTTTTATGCAATCACTCAGTGTAATATGTGTTTCTCCATCATTTTCCAGGCTTGCTTCTCTTGTTTTTTAAATACAAGTATGGGCCTAGAATCCAGTGACATATTCAGGAATCTGGGGGTTGATCTTGTGGGGCAGAGGGCAGGGGATTCTGGAAATTCTCAACAAACCTAATTCTTATCACTACCACCTACTCACCATCCTCTTTTGTACCCTTGTAATTTGTGTAGTTCAGGAGTCACTTCCAGAGGCTTTAGGAATCAAGCTACTCTCCCCAACCACACAGTCTTTGCAAGTGAATCCTGCTCTCCACTCACTCAAAATAGATCGTTTATCTCTTCTGCACTAAAATCCAAAATCCTCTGCAGCAAGAGAGTGCGTACAAACAACACAAAGAAGGAAGGAATTTCTCCAAACAAAGTTGAGCCATATTTCTCTGAAAGAAAACTCTTTCATTTAAAGATGTTTTTAGTTTTTTAATAGGATATATATATATATATATACATATATACACACACCTTTCTCTCTCCATATGTGTGTGTGTGTGTATTTGTCAGTATCAGTACCTGATGGTCTAGGATGTACCTGCCATCAACTGCCATGAAATCATAGTGCTTTGGGCAGTTATGTGTTTACTTATCTGAAATATGGAATTCTCAGACTCTAGAGAGTGATTTCCTGTGTTTATCAAGTACCAGACTAGTTCAAAGTTGCAGGATGCCTGACTGCTGTCACACTTGTATGAACTTGCAGTACCTTCAAGATGTTGTAATTTGACCTCAATAGTAGATTTAAGCACATGGATTTAATGTGATTCCAGGAGATAAACCTAGATCAATAAGACTATTTCCTTGTTGTCTTTATTTTCAATTTTTTTTAAGGTTATGCTTAAGGGTACAGCAAGTTTGCCTGTTACTGCTCTACTTTCATAGATAAGTGCAGCTTCCCAAGTTTTCACTGAAGTTGGCACCATACACTTGAGTCCTAATGGGGGAGTAGGGAAGGCAAATCAATGCACATTATTAGACTAAAGGCACAAACAGAAGGAAAAGAATGCAAAAATAAAGGGAGTGAGGAAGGGGCACAGTGAAGAGGCAGAAAGTTAGAGGGAAGAAGAAAAGAGAAACGATGAAGAAGAAGAGAAAGTGGAGATCAAAAAGATGTACACATGTCAGAGAGTAGCAGAGGAAGACCAAGAATAGGTTCAGGCACCACTTCTTAGAGTTTTTCTCTCCACTGCTTTACAGAGATTGGGCAACTTTGTGGTAGGTATATATACAAGATTTGAGAGAAATCATCTAAACTATGAAGAAAAAAACCACAAATCCTGGTTCAGAAATCCAATATATAAGGTTTTCAGACAACTAGGATTTCACTCCTATTATGGAATTTCACATAGACAGAAATGATGGATAAAGAGCCAGATTTAGAATAGCATTTCAAGTCCTGCCTCTGGCACCCATGAGCTGTATTACCAAGTTTACAAAGCTTGTCGGTCACCCCAGACAATTCTCTCTCAAACACTCTAATGGATCTATGGTTTCCTTATATCCAGGAGTTCCTTCCAATGATGTAAATCTCAATCCATCTATGGGTATCCATCCTGTGTGATTCTAGTTCATGTTCTCCCAAAATTTTGCCACAAGAGATGCAACATGCTGATGGTCTTTACACTTTCTTGTCCCAATGCTATTGGAACATTTTGGCTGTCCATCTATCATCTCTTCCTCTTGCTATGTGTCCACCCTATCTTCTTTTCTTATCATGCAATTCCTTGATGATATACTTTACTTCTGTTTTTCTTCAGAGTCCCTTGTTGGTTTAAGTTGCAGCCAGAGCACACTCATCATGTGCTGCCTTTCCATTTCCCTCTGTGTGATATATTCGTATTTTGTTCTTTAGAGGCACTGGTATTCCTTGTCTTATAACCACATAGCAACACAATTCTCTAATTCTAGAAATTCAAAATGAGCTACCAATCTTCATTTTTTTAGCTTGGAGTTTCCACATAAAGACTTCCCTATAGGACTGTGATTAAAATTCTGGAGTCTCCCTCCACCCCCACCAATGGAAGCCCAAATAAACATGAGCCAATCAACTTTTGATGTAGAGAGAAGATGAGGGAAAGCTACCAAATAAGGGGCTCTAAAGTGGAATGTCACCTTGGTGATCCAGAATTTAAATGTATACAAGTCTAACACTTGGCAAAGTAACAAAAATGACAAAAGTAGTCATTGATCAATGTTGGAGAATTGCAGGAGGCAAGAACCCTTATATGCAATTGATGAAACCATGAATTGATCCTACCATTCTGGAAAACAACGTGCAACTGTGTGAAAAAAAATCATTAAAATGTTCATTCTCCTTGAACTAGTGATATCTTTACTGGGAAATATCACAAGGAAATCAAAGACATATAGCAAGATATTCATAAAAACACATTTGTTGTTTGTCATGGAAATATAGTGGTTGCTGATCACTGAGGAATGTATAAACAACTTGTTAAAATTTCACTTTGTCATCCTGGGCAAGTCACTTAACCTCTTGGAGCCTTAGCTATACACAATAACTACAATAATGTAAAGGGAAAAATACTTAATCAAAGAAAAATACTTCATTATTTCAATAATTAATTTGGTCCCAGGGAAGACATGGGGAAATGAACTTCTATAATTTCTTTGGAGATTTGGGAAAAACAGAATGTGAAATATCACCTTTGTCTTTTGACTCATCTATATCACAAGCATATACAACAAAGATTAAAGAAAGAGGAAAAGGATTCATCTGTGTGTGTGTATGTGTGTATGTGTGTGTGTATAGCACCACTCTTTTATAGAGGAAAAGGACTGAAATCTAAGAGGATAACCATCATTTGAGTGATTGAAAAATTATGCTATATTGATAGAATGGAATATTACTATGCTGTAAGAAAAGCAAAAAAGGATAGTATTTAAAAAACCTGGGAAGACTTGTATGAATTGGTTCAGAATGAAGTGAATAGAGCCTAGAGAAGAACAAGTTATACAATAACAATTACATTGTAAGGAAAAATAACTTTGAAAGAATTTAAAACTATGATAAATACAATGACCAACAATGATTTCATAATACTGGTGATAAAATATTACCACCTCCTAGGAGACAGGGAGTTGATTCACAAAATGAGCATTTATTTTTAGACATGGCTACTGTGAGGATTGCTTGATTATTCATTCTTGATGAAAGGCTTTTGTTTTATTTGGGGAGAGGGAACAGGAGAGGAAAAGAGAGAGAATGATAGTGACTAAAACATTTTTTAAAAGAAATAAAAAGAGTCATTGAGGCTTTTTAAAAAACGAACAGAAAGAAGGTCAGTAGGAAGCATGCAAACAAGACAACTTTGAAAATAACATGATGAAATTCAAAAAACTTAAGAAGTCTGATAAATACAATGATCAACCATGATTCCATAGGACCTATGATGAAGGACAAAGTATGCTACCCAGCTCCTGACAGAGATTTGTCCACTCTGATGGACTCAGGGTGCAAATACACATACATACATAGATTTGTGTGTGTATCTTTTATATATGTGCATACACACAATACAGGAATTTGTTTCCTTGACTATACTATACATATTTGTTACAATACTTTTGACATTCTTTCCTCCTCCTACTGGTATGTGGAGGTTGGAAAAAAGACAAAATCAAATTTTGTCAATTAAAAAATTAAATTTAATTAAGAACTAGTATGTTGTATTTCTTGTATACTTGGAGGGAGAAGCAAACTATAGTTGATGCAGTGTGGCTGAATGTGCAATCCCCTTTATTTGTTCTGTTTTATCTATGGAAAAGCACATCTTATTTGGTGTTTGTGAGACCCAGAACAAAGAAAAAATGAATTTTTTAAAAAGTGTCTTCTATGTCTAACACCGCCACTCTTTAATTTTTATTAACCTGTTTTTCTTTGTTTGAAATATAAGTTCACTGACAAGAGGGGCATATCCAGAAATGACTTATGTTAAAAACAAAAGACACCAGTAAAATGGTCTTAAAATTTATACAAACATCTCTGCAATATATAAAAATATATATACACACATATATACATATATATGTTCTTATGGTTTGCTGTAAGAACATTGGTTTGAAAAAATGTCAGTAACCAGAGCGATGGTCATTTATCTGTGGAAAATGATATTACAAATAAAGCAAACGATTAAACACGCAAAATCTCTATTAAAAGAGGAAACAGAGACTATTTCATGTCACATATCATATGTTGGGGAAATGCCTTTGTTTGGGATCAGATCCTCACTGTCACATCGTTTCCCTTATATTCTTGAGAACATGAAAGGCAGTATTAGGACACCTGGTGGCGCTGTAGGCTAAGAAGGCAGAAAAGAACAAAAACCAGATCGGATTTACTGATGCGGAGAACTACATTAGCCAGAGAACATCCGACTGGCATAGTCAAGCAAAAGAGAACATCCTTTGTTAGCTGTAGCTGGGGAGGAACCGGAACAGTGGTAGTCCCCCGAACAGCCCTGAGGTTACAGCCCAAGGGATCAGAGACTAAGGAGGCGTAGTTGAAAACCGAAGAGCTCACCGAACGAGCAATGGAGCCTAAAGTGCGGACGACTCGGCGACAAAGGCAAGTTCTTCTTCTCCTTGTTTTTCTGTGGGCGTCAGAGGCAGGTTCAGATCCTCGGCGGTATTCGGTAGTTGAGGAGATGGAGAGCGGTTCCTTTGTAGCCAATGTGGCAAATGACTGGGGGCTGGAGGCGAGGGAGCTTTCAGCCAGGGTGGGGCGAATAGTTCTGGACAACAATAAAGAGTATTTCCAGCTCAACCGGGAGACTGGGGATCTGCTACTAAAAGAGAAACTGGATCGAGAGGAGGTATGCGGCTCCGCCGAGCCCTGCGTGGTATCTTTTCAGATCTTACTGGAAAATCCCTTGCAGTTTCTCCAGTTTGAGCTGCAAGTGCAAGATATAAATGATCATTCACCTATGTTTCTGGACACTGAAATGCTCCTGAAAATATCAGAAAGCACAACGCCCGGGACTTCATTTCTCCTAGAAACTGCACAGGATTTAGATGTAGGGAGAAACGGCCTCCAAAACTATACGATTAACCCCAACTCCCATTTCCACATTAAAATCCGAGAGAGCAGGGAGGGCACGAAATATCCAGAGCTTGTTCTGGATAGAGCACTGGATCGGGAGGAGAAGCCTGAGGTCATTTTAATCCTCACGGCATTGGATGGGGGATCTCCACCCAGGTCTGGCACTGCCCTGGTTCGGGTCCTAGTTATGGACATCAATGACAATGCCCCTGTATTTTCTCAACCTCTATATGAGGTTCAGATCCCTGAGAACAGCCCCATTGGCTCCCTGGTTGTCACAGTCTCTGCTAGAGATTTAGACACAGGAAATAATGGAGAAATAACATATACACTCTTCCACTCATCAGAAAGTATACGCAAAACTTTTCAAATCAATCCCACCACTGGGGACCTTCGTCTAGGGGCGCAACTGGATTATGAGACAATTCAGGATTACACAGTGAGAATTCAAGCCACAGATGGAGGGGGCCTTTCAGAGGAATGTACTGTATTTGTCCAGGTGACCGATCTGAACGACAATCCCCCAGAACTGACCATGTCGACATTAACCAATCCCATTCCTGAGAATTCACCTGACTCTGTCGTTGCCATTTTCAAGATCCGAGATCCAGACTCTGGAGATAATGGAAAGATGCTTTGTTTCATCCAGGATGATCTCCCTTTCATCTTGAAACCTGTCAAGAACTTCTACACCCTCTTAACAGAGGGAGCTCTGGACAGAGAGAACAGGTCCGAATACAACATCACCATTACTGTCACAGATTTAGGTTCCCCCAGGCTCAAAACTGAGTACAACATCACTGTAATGATCTCTGACATCAATGACAATCCTCCAGTATTTAGTCAGATGGTCTACACACTTTACCTTAGGGAAAACAACAGCCCCGCCCTTCACATTGGCAGGGTCAGTGCCAGTGACAGGGACTCAGGGACCAATGCCAAAGTCACCTATTCACTGCAACCTCCTGAGCCTGGAGACCTGCCTCTCTTCTCCTACGTTTCCATCAACTCAGACAATGGTCATCTCTATGCCTTGAGATCTTTGGATTATGAAGTCACCCAAACTTTCCAGTTCACTGTGAGGGCGACTGATGGAGGCTCCCCAGCCCTGAGCAGCCAGGCTCTGGTTCAGATTGTGGTTCAGGATGAGAATGACAACTCTCCCTTCGTGTTGTACCCCTTTCAGAATGGCACAGCCCCCTGCAATGACCTGGTCCCAAGGGCAGCAGAACCAGGTTACCTGGTCACCAAGGTAGTTGCTGTGGATCAGGACTCTGGACAGAATTCCTGGCTTTCCTACCAACTGCTAAAAGCCACGGACCCAGGGCTCTTCACTGTGTGGGCTCATAATGGGGAAGTGCACATAGCAAGGCCCATCAGTGACAGAGATGCCATCAAGCAGAGGCTCCTGGTGCTAGTGAAGGACAATGGACAGCCACCTCTGTCCACAGCAGCTACACTGAATGTGTTTCTGGTGGATGGCTTCTCTGAGCCATATATGAAGCTTCCAGATGAGCCCAAAGATGAGCCACAGACTGATTCCCTCACAATCTATTTGGTCATTTCTCTAGCTTCAGTCTCATTTCTCTTCTTAGTCTCTGTCATACTCTTCATCACTGTACACCTGTGGAGGAGAAAAAGGGGAGCTGTTGAGCGTGGAAACTTTGCCACTGGAGGCTCCTTTCCAGGACACTTGGTGAATGTCAGTGGCACTGGGACCCTGTCCCAGAGCTACCAGTATGAGGTGTGTCTGACCAGTGGCTCAGGGGGAGATGAGTTCAAGTTCTTGAAGCCTATTACCCCCAATTTCTCTGCTCCAATTACTCAGATGGATCCTGAGGAAACCACACCCTTTCCTAATAGCATTGGGTTCAATTAGAAATTGAAAAAGAATGTTTTCAAGGATTGATATATTCATTGATTTTTTCAATATTCTTCATGTCTTACAAAATTAAATTTATGAGTTTTCCCTTCCTGCACATTCTATTCAGTAGAATATTGATTTGATTAATTAACTGAGTCTTTAACCATTTTATATATGCCCCTCCCTCACCTACCCTCCCTTGTTTTTGAAATGCAGTTTTACACTTTATGTTGGAGCTCAAAAGGACACTCATCAATTGATACTTGACATCTGCATTCTTCTAGTTTATCTTCACTTCCAATTCAAGACATCACCCTTCTGGTGTCATTGATCCTCTTCAAAAATGAAGGACAAACAATAGAGTCTCCCTTAGCTATGAAGAACTGAGCCCCTTTAGTTTCTCTGTTCTGCTCTTGTATCATCTACTGTATTCTATGTCTTCCACAATAGCATGCTTTCTAGCCTTTCTAATGTTCAACATAATAAAAATGGTGTCACTAAAGGCAATAAGCTTGTTCTGATAGCGAAATATGTCCTCTTGATTCTCTTGTGTAGATGGTATTGTTGGGAATGTTTGGGTTCTTATCATTGTGATTCAACATGTATCTATGCTTCCCCCCCTTTCAGATGTATTGTAATCACATAGATAAGGTTTTCTTATAATAATTTTTTTAGATTTCTCACTAGAAAGTTGTCAACAGAGTGAAACATTTTTTTCAGCAACAATGGCTGAAGATCATTCTGAGATGCTGTGGCTGAAAGATTTTAACATATCCTTTAGCTTGAAGATGGATTATCTAGACAGAGGGTCAATGGTCCAGGTGGAAAAATGCAGAAGTGGGATTTGAATCTAGGTTTTCTGACTCCAAATCCATTAGCTCTTTCCACTATTCTATGATGATTCCCATCAAAGAAGTCACAAATCCTTGGAATATTGACAGAAACATTATTGAAAGGACAATAACTTTCTTAAATGCTTCTTTATGTCATTTGCAACTATAATCATGTGGGTTGGAAAATATACATGATGAAAAGAATTTTATGTTATGGAAGAAATATTTGAAAGCCCATTAAAAAGAAATTTTATGGCACTTTTACTACCTACTTTTACAATAAAATTGCTTTTAAGGAGTTTTGAGGAATTTATGATGTAAACCAAGGTGTAATGATGACAGGTTTTTTTTCCATGCAACTACAACATGCAACTAAACTAACATTTCATTTGAAATGCCCAGAACTCAAATTTCAAATGATTACAATTTCATATAAGTGAATTGAATTCTAAGGTTAGGACATCATATTCTCAAAATGATTCTTATTTTCTATATTTTTAATGTGATGTTGAATGGACCAAGTTTACCTTGTGCTGAGATACTCATCTACCAATAGAGATAAGTGTAGCCAGAAAGAACAAGCCTCATGGCCATAAACACTGTTCTTCACACATTCATTCTTCATGAGTCCCTATCATGGATCACTTTGAATTGACTTTGTTGCTAAATTGCACCAATAAGGCAAAAGAATATCCATGAGTGACAAGCCTTTGCAAGCCTAAGATATTGGTAGGGGAAAGTGGAAGGAAATTGAAAAGGGAAAGAGCATAAGAAAAAAAAAGGAAAGGAGGTAATGCAAGGGGGAAAAAAGAGAAACTATAGAGATTCACAGGTTGTTTTCTTTTCTTTTCCTTTTTTACATCCCTTTTTTTCTGTGCTTTTGGTATGGGAATGTTCATCTTTATCAAGTTTATAGTAAACAAAGAAGAAAATTAGAGAAAAAGAGAAAATATAATGAAAGCAATGTTCATGGGAAAGATTGCTTCAAGTGTCTTTTGATTTTATCAATGCTGTTGTTTACCTACCCCTAAATTATAAAGTTTTAAAAATATTACAGTGTAGTCTATGAAAGCCAGTCTAGTCTCATGGATAGAGCAGACTTCCTGGTTGGAAAGACTGGAATTCAAGTCCCACCTCTGAGATATACTACCAGCTAAGATTTCTTTTTTAAATTAAATTAAAGTTTTTCAAGGAAAAAAATTCTATTTTCTCTTCCTGGGGGAGAGGGCGGGGAGAACAAATCATCCCTGGCAACAAATACAATCAAGGAAAATAGATTCCTGTATTGGCTGTGTGAAACAAATATGTTTCTCATTCTGACCAGTGAGTCCATATCACCTCTGTCAAGAGATAGATAGCATCCATTTCCATAAGTCCTCTGGAATCATGGTTGTTCATTATGTCGATCAGAGTTCTTAACTCTTCCGAAGTTGATTATTTTACAATGTTGTTGCTATATATAAATTGTTCTCCTGGTTCTGCTCACTTGATTCTGCATCAGTTCATAAAAGTTTTCCCTATTTCCTTTTTATCATGTCATACAACTCAGTAGCATTCCACTTCTTAGTTGATGGACAATCTCTTCATATTCAGTTCTTTGACACCATGAAAGAGTTACTATAAATATTATTGTACATAAGGGTCCTTCTCCTTTTTTTTGGTTTCTTTGAGTTATAGGGCTAACAGTAGTATCACTGAGTCATAGGGTTTCTGTAATTTAGTAAAATTTACACTGCTTTCCAAAATGGCCGGACTAATTCACAACATTAATGTGCACTAATGTGCATGTTTTCGTAAATCACATCCAACATTTGTCATTTTTTGTTTTTGGTCAACTTTGCCAAGCTAATGAATTACTTTAATTTGTGTGTCTCCTATTAGTAATTATTTCATATATTTTTCATATTGGTATTGGTAACTTGGATTTCTTCCTCTGAAATCTGCCTGTTTATATCCTTTGTCAATTGAGAAATTGCTCTTATTCTTCTAAATTTGGGTGATTCCTACATAACTTGTAAATAAGACCCTCAAAAAAGAAATTTGCAGGAAGAATTTCCCCCTCTCCCAGTAATCTGTTTCTCTTTTAATTTTCACTTACAGCTAAAATTTCACTACAACTATCACTGTACCCAAAATTACTGCTTAATTCTTCTCTTGTAGATAGATAGGTTCAGATCAATGAAATAGTCCAGTCAAGCCAATATTTCTTTGCAATTGAATCCCCTAAGAGCAATACAAGAAAGGAATTTCATGAACTTTTAGTTCAGACATTCAGTATTGGTTTCACACAATGATGAAGTTGGATCTTCCATAAGCTGATATATAGGCATTTACATCCTGATGGAAAATTGCCAGAAACTCTAACCACATAATGTCTTTTCTGTCCTGAACCTTCCTACTTATTCATCTTCAGTTACTGCTACTTCCTTTTACTCTAGTATAGCAATTCTCCTTTCAAAACTCTGAACACATCATGCTTATTTTCTTCCTAATATAGGGAATGCTTTCTGTTGCTCTTCCCCACCTATCTAAAAATGTCTATTCCTTAAGGGCCAGAGCAAGTCCCATTTCCTCCAAGAACCATTCTTAGGGAGCTCAAACAGGTCTCTTCAACATCTGAATGCCTATTGACCATGTATTCTTTCCTTTAAAATTGCCCATCAAAACTTCGCAAAACTCTTCCCATGTTTTAATCCTTTCTTCCACATGAAACTGTAAGGTCCTTGAGGGAACGAAACAGAATTTCTTTTAATGTTTGAAAAATATGCACCTAGTCCAGTACTGGCCAACCAGCCAGATGCTCAGCTATTTGTTAACCATTCAACAAAATCGACAATGTTTCAACTCCCAAAGAATGCAACTAAAAAGATTTTGGTGATAAAGAGAACACATTGAATATCATTTAATAATTTTATTAACTAAATTAATTCATGTGACCCAGAAAATCACATATTTTCACCACTCATTGTTATTCTTTTCATAAAACTTGACCACTGGAGATGACACATGATTAGACCCTCAAATAATCAAAGAATCTATGAAAGCAACATCATAGGGAACTCCAAAAATTTCTACCCATGGATCTTTCCACTGACATTTTCCCACAGTGTTATGCTTTCATTACCAATAGCTACCAAAGCCTAGGTTATGTCCTGTGACTTTTACAAATTTTCTATATTCAGTATTACTAATCCATGAAGTTTGGTTATATGATCTAAATAACAGAAGAAACATAAATACTTCAAGAGATATTTACATGGTCACTTCATGACTAGGTCCTGAAGACTTTATAATAATTTTAAAAGTCTAAGTACCTCTTTTATCCTTATAAATAGGCTTTAAAATAAAAATTAACTAGATATCTTTAATTACCGCATTTGATCTCAGCATTTTAAAAAGTGCCTGGGGAAATAGATAGACATCAAGTAGGGCAAAAGACATAGATAAATCTGATTTACAGGATTCTTATAACCTTCCTGGCATTTTCTTCAGTTCTCAACTGTTCCTTTGAACTATTTGAGATCATAACTTCTTCTGAAGAAGATTCTGCTAGCCATAGTTTATGTATTTTGAGTAGTGCTGATGAAGCCATGAAAGTACTCTCCCTCCAAGTCCTTATCACTATGTATGGATGGCCCTGGGTTTTTAAAGATTTTCTTATCAGATTGCAAGCTTTGGCAGGTCCTGTGCAATTGAAAAAAAAAAAAGGTTAGGATATGGACTTATGCTTGATTTTAGATCTGTCATCCAAGCAACAATCTAGCTAAGTTTATAGTTATCCACAGGTCGGCTGCAGTATTGTGACTTTTTCACCCACAGCTAGCGTCCTACACCAATTATAGAGTGTTATGATCTATGCCGATAAAGGGATTGCCTGCATCTGAGAGATATAGATCCTTGACAGTCCTAAGAGCTTTTTCAAAACCTGCAGATCCCAGAGCCAGAGTTCTAACTTCACTCTCTCTAAGGACACCCTCCCCATACTATGATAATGTTTTAATCAAGCTGATGAGATACACTGACGAGATTTTTGTTGCGGCTGTGAAAGGGACCGTTTAAGTCTTAGAAAGGATACGAGGTGGCGCTGCAGACTATGAAGAAGAAGAAGAAAAAGAGGAGAAAAAACATTTCAGATGCCAGTTCCAACAGGCTGAGATACAGGCAGTCACAGACGGTCCTGACAGAGCATGCGTTGTTCGCCAGAGCTGAGAGGACGAGCGAGAAGCCGAAACGCGTTATTCATCTTTACATTTCGGAGGCTTTAGAACTGCGGATTGCTATCGGTGTAACCCTGGGGTGCTGTTGGAGGCCAACTTGCTGAAAGGAGGCCACCGAAAGAACAATGGAGGCCCGAGAGAAGTCACTTCCACTTCAAAGGCAAGTTCTCCTTCTCCTTTTCCTTGTTTTGCTCTGTGTTTATGTGTCGGCTTCCGAACCCGGGAGGTTTTCAGTGGCGGAGGAAATGGAGAGTAGATCTTTTGTAGGCAATGTGGGTAAGGCTCTGGGCTTGGAGGTTGGGGAACTATCTGCCAGGGGTGCTCGGATTACTTCCAAAGGGAAAAAACAGCATTTACAGCTCAACATTCAGACCGGGGATCTGCTTCTAAAAGAGAAACTGGACGGGGAGGAACTGTGCGGCCTTGCGGAGCCCTGTGTGCTGCCTTTCCAGATTTTACTGAAAAATCCCCTTCACATAATTCCTGCAGAACTGAGAGTGCTAGATATAAATGACCACGCGCGCATGTTCCCAGATACTGAAATGCTCTTGAAAATCCGCGAAAATAGGCCACCGGAGTCTCTATTTTCTCTGAAAAACGCGCTAGATTTGGATGTAGGTATCAACAATGTTCAGAACTACACAGTCAACCCCAACTCCCATTTTTGTGTTCACATTCGAACCCGCAGTGATGGTAGGAAGTACCCAGAGCTGGTCTTGGACAAAACCCTGGATCGTGAGGAGCAGCCAGAGTTCGCTTTAACCCTCACTGCAGTGGATGGTGGGTCCCCTCCCAAGTCTGGGACCGCCCAAATCCGGGTCCTGGTTGTGGACATCAATGATAATACTCCTGTATTTGCTCAGCCCCAATATGAGGTTCAGATTCCTGAGGACAGCCCCATCGATTCCCTGGTTGTCACTGTGTCTGCCAGAGACTTGGACATAGGAAGCAATGGTGAAATCTCATATACACTTATTCAGAGTTTGAAGGAGATTAGCCAAACGTTCAAAGTAAACCCCTTCTCGGGAGAAATTCGACTGAAAAAACAAGTGGATTTCGAGATGATTCAGTCATACGAGGTGGATATTGAGGCCACCGATGGTGGAGGCCTTTCTGGAAAATGCACTGTCCGAATCCATGTAATGGATTTAAACGACAATCCTCCAGAATTAGCCTTATCCTCTTTAAATAGCCCCATCCCCAAGGATTCGATTCAGGTCGTCGTCGCTGTTTTCAGCATTTCAGACCGAGACTCGGGACACAAAGGAAAGATGGTTTGCTCCATCCAAGATAATGTCCCCTTCATCTTGAAATAGTCTTTGGAGAACTTCTATACCCTGGTAACTGATGGGGTCCTGGACAGAGAGATCAGAGATGAGTACAACGTCACCATCACTGTCACGGATTTGGGATCCCCAGGCTTAAAACCGAGCAAAACATCACAGTGCTGATCTCCGACGTCAATGATAACTCTCCAGTGTTTACTCAGACCACTTACACGCTCTATCTCCGGGAGAACAACAGCCCTGCCTTCCACATTGGCAGTGTCAGTGCCAGTGACAGGGACTCAGGAATCAATGCCAAAGTCACCTACTCCCTGCTGCCTCCAGAGACTGGAGACCTACCCCTCTTCTCCTACATCTCCATCAACTCAGATAATGGCCATCTCTATGCTCTGAGATCCCTGGATTATGAAGCCATCCAAGCTTTCCATTTCACTGTGAGGGCAACTGATGGTGGTTCCCCATCTCTGAGCAGCCAGGCTGTGGTTCAGGTTTTGGTGGAAGATGAGAATGACAACTCTCCCTTTGTGCTGTACCCCCTGAAGAATGGCACAGCTCCCTGCAATGACTTGGTGCCCAGAGCTGCAGAGCCAGGTTACCTGGTGACCAAGGTGGTGGCCGTGGATAGGGACTGGGGACAGAATTCCTGGCTTTCTTACCAACTAATCAAGGCCATGGACCCAGAACTCTTCACTATGTGGGCCCACAATGGGGAAGCTTGAACAGCAAGGCCCATCAGTGACAGAGATGCCATCAAGCAGAGGCTCCTGGTGCTGGTGAAGGACAATGGACAGCCACCTCTGTCCACAATGGCCACACTTAATGTCCTCCTGGTGGACAGATTCTCTGAGCCTTACTTGCAGCTCCCAGATACACCCAAGGAGCAGGCCCAGACTGACTCTCTCACCATTTATTTGGTCATTTCTCTAGCTTCTGTCTCTTTCCTTTTTCTTGTTTCTGTGATTCTGTTCATTGCTGTGCACTGGTGGAAAATGAAGAAGGATGCCACTGATGGCCTTCAGTTTAGGCCCAATAGTTCATTCCCAGTCCACTTTGTGGATGTTGGGGGTACTGGAATCCTGTCCCAGAGTTACCACTATGAGGTGTGCCTGACCAATGATTCTGGCACTGGTGAGTTTAAGTTCTTAAAGTCCATTATTCCCAGCCTCCCCACTCAGGATAGTGGAAAAGATTTGGAAGAAAGCCCTCCCTTCCAGAAGAGCTTTGGGCTGGGTTAAGATTCTGCCAAACTGAGATTCTATACATTCATTTTGTAAACCCTTTTCTATTGTGTTTCTTTACCTAGCTAATTAAATTATCTTTAGACTCATTTGATCTTTACCTAATTTGGGGATGGACTGCTTTCCTGCTTGACCTAGCTCTTATTCCAGTGCTGCAAAGCACATTGTTGTCAACAATCTTGTTTTAAGGAAGAATTAGTTTACAAAAAGAATTTGTATTATACTATATTCTATCTTTTCTGCATGTGATTAATAACATTTTAGCACAAAGAGTAAAATTGAAAAATGAATTATTTTCACTCCCAAATGTTTGAAATATTTAATGTTCTTCAAAAAGCTACATGTATTTGAGTGTGGTTATTATGCACAGAAGGTTCCCAAATGTTTCCTTTACAAGAAAAATTAATGTGAGGTGTAATAAGTTGAGACACTTGCCCAAAGCCCTGTTTTAATATTTTTGAACCCAAATAATAGAGTTTTTGAATGCTCTATTTCTCTTTTGAGTCAGAACTATATCCAGATAGGAAAATTGAAGTGACAATCTCAGACAATCAGTAAATTTTTTGTCAACAAATTACTGGCAATTGAGAAATCAACATATCTTTATGTCATCAGAGTCAGGTTACAGGGTAAGAGTCAGTCTTCACTTCATCCTGCTGTGAAAATGTGGAGTTTTTTGTATCTCTCACAATAATCTCTGTACTTTTTAAAACCTATTTTAACATTTCCTTTTCCTTGTTCTTGTCACCTAGGATTGAAGTATTTCTGAACATTTCCTGTTTTAAAAACGTCTATCAACAAATGTGTACAATTAATATGGATGCAACATAGATGTAAATTTTTATTTAGACCACAACACTGCTAAATCCACATTGTGGAAATTTAATAAATATTTATGAAGCTGGACTTTGCTGGGCCTTTATTGGCACAAGATGTGTCCTAATTTCAGCACTGCAACATGTCTATTTCAGCCATATTTTTGATTGACTGATGATTACCCAGCTTAACCTGAGAGTGTTCCAGAGTATCATTTAATAGAGTTCCAGTTCTAATGTCCCTAATTTAGAAAATGTTTTCATGTTCAAAATCAGTTTTATATTATCTCAACAATAACCTTTATGGATGTATTTTCTAGTATAGGTATCACTTTTTATTGAAATTTATTTCAATTTCAATTCATTTTCCAGTATAAATTCCATGTGTGCTCCAAACAGATCACTTTTCCTGTATTGCTGTGGGTGTAGATTGTATTTATACTTGGCAATTTAATTTAAAAGCTAAGAAATATGAGCAGACAGATAGGGTGGCAGTCTGGATGAACTTGGAAAAATGAGAGTCAGTTTGCTTAATTTCCACTAAATCAATGAATTTGTGTTTAGTTAACTAAAATAGTTAGTTTTGTCTGAATAAAAATTTCATCTTCAGTGTCCATTCAGGAATCATGCAGATATTCTCTCTATCTGTGCTTTACTAATCCTTATCAGCTATTCATTTTGTGAAAATTTGCCCTGAAAATGTTCAGCTCTCCATTCTATTTTTATCCTTTTCTATGTAAATGACTAGCATAGTTTCCCTTGCTGTCTGGGTGCATTGTTTTCAACGATGAGCTGAGAGATATTAAGGGAGAAATTTGATGAAATAGATTGATGAAATAAAAAGATATTATGAGGCTCAAGAAATGAATAAAAAACTGAAATGATTATCTGAAGAAATAAAATAAATAAAAGCTTAGCTTGAGTAAAATGCATATTATTTCAATTACATCTTCATTCTTTTTTTTTTAATCCAATATGAACCATTTAATACTCTGATATGTTGTTGCGTAAGTCACTTCCCCTCTCTTGGCCTCAATTTTACCACTTGTAAAATAAAGAATTGTATCTCAATAAGGTTCCATGCAACCCTAACATTTTGCAATTCTATGATATTCAATTAATTTTATTAAGATACATTGGGCTAGAATTCAAGAATTTACATGTCTTTCAATAAGTCAAGTTACAAGCAAAATACCACCTACGTTATTCATGGAACATAAAGAAAGCTAAATAAACAGGGATGATTGACTGAAAATATAGCCTTACTGCAGACCATGTTATCCAGAAGTTTTCACAAAATCTTTGTTCCTGAAAAGTCAGAAATGATGGCATACAATGAAAATATTTTTATATTGAAGCAAAATTGTTAACTACCTATTTAAGTTATGGCTTTTTCAAACTTGAAACCCCTTGTATCTGCGAACAGCCTCATTGACAAAAGTGAATAATGTTCTCTCTATCCGTAATTGAAAAATATATGGGGAAAACAACATGATTTCCTTCATTTTCAAAAGCACCATAACAAAAGTGGATTAATAGGCAACTAGTTGAGGCGTAGATAGAGTATAGGACTTGTAGTCAGGAAGACTGAGTTGGAAACTTCAGAAACTTACTAGCTGTGTGACCCTTGACAAGCCACTTAATCTTTATATACTTCAGTGTCTTCATCTTTAAAATGGAGCTAATAATAGCATCTACTTCACAGGGTTATGAAGATTGAGTAAAAATATGTAAAAAAAGCTTTGCAGACCCTAAAACTCTATACAAATGCTAGCTATTACTGTTATTATTTTACCTGAAAGGGTATATATTTTCTTATTCAAATGGATTTAAAGAGTAATTTGTCAATAAGGACGCTTGGTGGCGCTGTAGACTAAGAAGACGAATAAAATATTGCAGATCCTGCAGACTGCCTTACTCATAGAAAACAGAATGCAAAAGACACTCCCGGGAAGAGAACGTTTTCTAAGCCATAGCTGGAGCTAAAGAAATACACCTAGCTGCTATCTGCCAATCTCTTGGACCAAGAAACCAAGGTTGATTGTACCAGCGATTTCTCTACTGAGAGGATTGCATATTGTATGCCCCATCACACTAATGGAGACTGCGCCACGGAAAGCTCGGCGGAACAGGCAAGTGGCATTTCTTATTGCTGCTTTATTCTTGTCTGAGGCGGTTTCAGAGCCACAGCAGTACTCAGTGGCAGAGGAAACTGAGAATGGTTCCTTTGTGGCTAATGTTGCAAAGACTCTGGGGCTAGAGGTAGGGGAGTTGTCATTCCGAGGGGCCCGGGTGATCTCTGAGGATAAAAAGCAATATCTGCAGCTTAAACGCAACACTGGGGATCTTCTTATAAAAGAGAAGCTAGACCGGGAGGAGCTGTGTGGCTCTGCCGAGTCCTGCGTGCTGCCTTTCCAAATCTTACTGGAAAACCCTTTTCAGTTTTTCCGGGCTGAGCTGAGGGTAGAAGACATAAATGACCATTCGCCCACCTTCCCGGAATCTGAGATGATTCTGAAAATATTAGAAAGCACTACGCCAGGGACTGTGTTTCCACTAAAGATGGCCCAAGATTTAGACGTTGGAATAAACAGTCTCCAGAACTATACCATTGGGCGCAACCCCCATTTCTTCGTCCGCACTCGCGCACGCAACAATGGAAGAAAGTTCCCAGAGCTGGTGTTGGATAAAGTGCTGGATAGGGAGGAGGAGCCTGAGCTCACTTTAACTCTCACAGCAGTAGATGGGGGGATTCCACCCAGATCCGGGACAGCTCAAGTCCGGGTCCTGGTTATGGATATCAATGACAACGCCCCTATCTTCACTCACACCCAGTATGAGGTTCAAATCCCAGAGAACAGCCCCATTGGCTCTCTAGTAGTGACTGTCTCTGCTCGAGATTTAGACGCTGGAATCAATGGGGATGTGACTTATGCCTTATTCCAAGCTTCGGATGAAGTCAGTCAAACATTTAGAGTAGATCCCATTTCCGGAGAGATTCGACTCAAAAAACAACTGGATTTCGAGGAAATTCAAAAATATGAGGTGGATATTGAAGCAATCGATGGCGGGGGGCTTTCTGGAAAATGCACTGTTGTGGTTCAAGTAACGGATCTGAACGACAATTCCCCGGAGTTGATTGAATCGTCACTTACCAGCAATATCCCAGAGAACTCCCCAGAGACCGTGGTGGCTGTTTTCAGCATCCGAGATCGCGACTCCGGGGACAACGGAAGAATGATGTGTTCTATCCAGGAAGACCTCCCTTTCTCCCTGAAACCAACTTTCAAGAACTTTTATACACTGGTCACAGAGGGAGCCCTGGACAGAGAAAGGAGGGCTCAGTATAACATCACTGTTACCCTCACGGATTTAGGGTCCCCGAGACTCAAAACCGAGCACAACATCACGGTATTCATCACTGACGTCAATGACAATCCACCAGTATTTACTCAGACAGCCTATACACTTTACCTCAGGGAGAACAACAGCCCCGCCCTCCATATTGGCAGCGTCAGTGCAGATGACAGGGATGAAGGAACCAATGCTAAAGTCATCTACTCCCTGCTGTCTCCTGAGACTGAAGATTTACCCCTCTTCTCTTATATCTCCATCAATTCGGACAATGGACATCTCTATGCTCTGAGATCCCTGGATTATGAAACCATGCAAGCCTTCCAGTTCACTGTGAGAGCGGCTGATGGGGGCTCTCCAGCCCTGAGCAGCCAAGCTTTGGTTCAGGTTGTGGTCCTGGATGAAAATGACAATTCTCCCTTTGTACTATATCCTCTGCAGAATGACACGGTTCCTTGCAATGACCTGGTGCCCAGAGCTGCAGAGCCAGGTTACCTGGTGACCAAGGTGGTGGCTGTAGATAGGGACTCAGGACAAAATTCCTGGCTATCCTACCAGCTACTTAAAGCCACAGACCCGGGACTCTTCACTGTGTGGGCTCATAATGGAGAAGTTCACACAGGAAGACCCATCAGTGACAGAGACACCATCAAGCATAGACTTCTGGTTCTGGTGAAGGACAATGGGAAGCCACCTTTGTCCACAGCAGTCACGCTGAATATACTCTTGGTAGACGGATTCTCTGAGCCACATGTACAGCTCCTAGACACAAAGAAGGAGCAAGTCCAGAATGACTCCCTCACTGTTTACTTGGTCATTTCTCTCGTTTCAGTCTCATTCCTCTTCCTGGTCTCCGTCTTCCTTTTCATAGCTGTGCGTCTATGGAAGAAGAAAAGAAGTGCTGCAAATGAAGTTTGCTTGGGGACCAGTGGCCCCTATCCAGGTCACTTAGTGGATGTCAGTGGCACAGGGACTCTTTCCCAGAGTTACCAGTATGAAATGTGTCTGACCAGTGGCTCAGGGAATGGAGAATTCAAATTCCTGAAACCCATTATTCCCAGCCTCCAAGCTCAGAATACTGGGGAGAGACTTAGAAGAAAGCCCACCCTTTAGGAGTAGCTGTGGCTTCAATTAGAGGTATGAAGTGATGACAATGTACATGTGATTTTCTCATATTTGCTATGGACATTGCCCCAGTAGATCTTTATTGCTTGGATTATTAGAGAGTTACTGTATATGCTACTCTTCAAAAGTTTTTTGACTTCTGCAGGTTGGACATTCCAGTCATTTGGATACTTATGTATTGCCTTCATTTACATTATCTAGAGGACAGAATTTTATTCGACTTTTGAGTAACAGCTCACATTTGGGCCCTAACTCACCCTCTGAGCCCATAAGAACATCTTGTGTTCTAACTTCTGTCTGACTACCACTAACCTTTTTGGAAACAATGAAGATGAGTAGAATGTGAATGCTACATGCTCTTAAGTTATCATGGATTTAGGCCAATCTTTGTTATCATTTGTACTTACAGTTTCATATTCTCTTCCCACAGTGCTTTAATACAAGCAATGCAGAGCTTTGCTCTACAGAGTGGTTGGTTTTTTTTCCTGCAAAAGGTCATAATTATTCTAAGGCTTAGAAATTTCTCTTGGCAAATACCTTTTTATTTTTTTATTTTTTTTTTTTGGTAATTGGGGTTAAGTGACTTCCCCAGGGTCACACAGCTAGTAAGTGTCAAGTGTTTGGTCTGAGGCCGAATTTGAACTCAGATCCTCCTGACTTCAGGGCCAGTGCTCCATCCACTGCACCACCTAACCGCCCCCCAAATACCTTCTTCAACCCCATGTCCACTTCTGTGTGACTTGTTAGAAATAAAATGATCATATGCGTTCTTGAAAATTAATATCATATACCAGCTGAAATAATTTTTATACAACAAACATAAATGTATTTAAGGAACCCAGACAATTTTTCATCAAATATAATTTTAAAGAGGATTTTTATGTGGTTAGCTCATACTCAATGAATAATTGGAGCATCCATGAGAAATCTTTGAAAGTACACTTGATTCATATTTTTTATTTTTAATTTGTGCTTTTTGGATTTTATATTATGGTTATTTGTCAATACTACTTCCCCTTGCCCAAAGAACTATCCTTTATAACAAACAAAAACAGTTGATCAAAACAATCAAAATTATTTCATTAGATTGAGAGTGCTAAGTTCTGCACCTTAACTCACCACCTCTCTACTGAGGGGGGAAAATTGTGTTCATCTTGTACTCTAGAGTCAAGGTTGGTTGTTGCATTTAACTTAATTCTGGCGTTTTTCTGTGTTGTTTTATTTAAGTTCTTATACACCCTATTTATATTATTGCCATGATTCTATCTTTCCTTTCCCTCGGTTCATACTTGTCTTCATGTGTTTCTGATTTGCAACTATCCATTGTTTCTTATAGCTTAATACTATTCAATTACATTTATATACCATAATTGTTCAGCTATTCTGTAGTCAATGAACACTTTTATGCAAAAACAATAGTTTTTGTTACTGCAAAGTCTGCTTTACTATGAATATTTTGGTATGTATGAGGCCTTTGTTTAGATTAGATCCCAATTTCACATGTATAGAAATAAACAGATGTCTAATTATCTCTAGTTCACAGACTGTATTAACAAAGTGATAGGGAAAGTGTGAATTGGTTTGATCCAAAGGAAATAAATGTAAATTCTGAATCCTCATATTTTTCACTAGTTTCAAGAATATTTTGATGCCACTGGACAATTTTCTTAATCTAGATTTTAGTAGTAAATTAACCCACCACCACCCCTGCCATAATACAACATAAAACAGTTCTGGACCCAAATGTACTCTGAGACACTGACCTAGAGTTTAAATACTTTGTCCCCCTTGAACCTATGTGCACTGCAAATGTCTCTTCCTTGTTTTGAAAGTGGTTAAAATGATTTTATTATGTTCTTTCTCCACCACTACACTTCTTCCTTGCTCTTTGCCTCTCTCTCTCTACCTCTGTCCCTCCCTCCCCCCTCCCCTTCCTCCCTCCCTTTTTCCTGCTCTCAACCAGGAGATACACAATGTGGGTGACTCATGTGTTTTATCATTTCACCACACCAATCTATGGAGTTTTTTCCAACTCCAGTATACAGCAAGAGAATGGAGTTTCATATCTTGAATAACAAAGCACTCTGTAGACATTGGATAACAGTGGTTGCAACAATCAGATATCTGACATATTTTGCAGAACAGCAAAATATAAAAACATCAGTTTTAACTTTTAGTAGCGACACTTGGTGGCGCTGCAGGCTAAGGTGGGGGAGACACTATGTCTCTGCAGACTGGTTTCTTAGAAACTGAAACAGACTAGAAGACTGGGACAAAGACAGAGGAAGGGACATTATTAGCTGGAGCTGGGGAAGGATACAAGCCTGGGCCCTGTGCTGCTCACCAACAGTTTAGAACCTGGCAAATAAATGTGACTCACAGAATTCGGATCTAATTTGAGGTAGAGCTGGGCGATTCAAGCCGAAAAGGAGGCAGCCAAAGGAACAATGGATCCCAAAAAGAAAGCAATTCTACGGCAAAGGCAAGTCCTGTTCCTTGTTTTTTTGCTGTGGGTGTCTGAGGCCGGCTGCGAGCTGGGGAGGTTTTTGGTGGCTGAGGAGACTGAGATCGGCTCCTTTGTGACAAATGTAGCGAGGGACTTAGGGTTAGAGTTAGGGGATCTATCAACCAGAAGGGCCCGAATCGCTTCCAGAGGAAATAAACCGTTTTTGCAGCTCAATGGTGAGACTGGAGATTTGGTCCTAAAAGAGAAACTGGACCGGGAGGAGTTGTGCGGCTCCGCCGAGCCCTGTCTGCTGCCTTTCCAGATCTTACTGGAAAACCCTTTAAAGATATTTCGCGCTGAGCTTCGGGTGAGAGACATTAATGATCATTCGCCCGTGTTCCTAGAACCAGAGATGCTTCTGAAAATCCCAGAAAATAGTATTCTCGGTACTGTTTTGCCTCTGAAAAACGCCGAAGATTTGGATGTAGGAAGTAACGCTGTGCAGAACTATACCATCAGCCCTAACTCCCATTTCTATGTTCAAACTCACAGCCGCAGTGAAGGCAGGAAGTTCCCAGAGCTGGTGTTGATCAAAGCTCTGGATCGTGAGGCGCAATCGGAATTTACACTAACCCTCACGGCCATAGATGATGGGTCCCCGCCCAGGTCTGGGACGGTTCGCGTCCGCATAGTGGTTTTGGACATTAATGATAATGCTCCTGTATTTACTCAACCTAGATATGAGGTTCGGATCCCTGAAAACAATTCCATTGGCTCCCTGGTCGTCACCGTCTCTGCTAGAGACTCAGACGCTGGAAATAACGGAGAAATATTGTATTCGCTTTTTCATAGTTCTGAGGAAATTATCAAAACTTTTGAAATAAACCCCATCTCAGGAGATGTTCGACTTAGAAAAAAACTAGATTTTGAGACAATTCAACGGTATGAGGTAGATATCGAAGGAACTGATGGTGGTGGCCTTTCCGGGAAATGTACTGTAATTGTTCAGGTGATAGATCTGAATGACAATGCCCCTGAACTGACGATATCGTCACTTACCAGCTCCATCCCAGAGAATGTGCCCGAGTCTGTGGTGGTTGTTTTCAGTATTTCAGATTTGGACTCAGGAGAAAACGGAAGGCTGGTTTGCTCCATTCAAGAAGATATCCCTTTTACTCTACAACCATCCATAGAAAATTTTTATACCTTGGTAACAGAAGGAGCGCTGGACAGAGAGATTAAGGCCCTGTATGATGTCACAATTACTGTCACGGATTTGGGGTTTCCAAGGCTCAAAACTATGCACAACATCACAGTGTTCATCTCTGACGTCAATGACAACCCACCAGTATTTACTCAGACAGCATATACACTCTACCTCAGGGAGAACAACAGTCCTGCCTTCCACCTTGGCAGTGTTAGTGCCAATGATAGGGACTCAGGGACCAATGCCAAAGTCACCTATTCACTGCAGCCTCCGGGACCTGAAAATTTATCCCTCTTTTCCTATGTCTCCATCAATTCAGACAATGGACATCTCTATGCTCTGAGATCCCTGGATTATGAAGACATTCAAACTTTCCAATTCACTGTGAGGGCTACTGATGGAGGCTCCCCAGCCCTCAGCAGCCAGGTTCTTGTTCAAGTCGTGGTCCTAGATGAGAATGACAACTCTCCTTTTGTGCTGTATCCTTTGCAAAATGGCACAACTCCCTGCAATGACTTGGTACCCAGGGCAGCAGAGCCAGGTTACTTGGTCACCAAAGTAGTGGCTGTGGATAGAGACTCAGGGCAAAATTCCTGGCTTTCCTACCAGCTGTTCAAGGCCACAGACCCAGGGCTCTTCACTGTGTGGGCCCATAATGGGGAAGTACGAACAGCAAGGCCCATCAGTGACAGAGATGCCATCAAGCAGAGGCTCTTGGTGTTGGTGAAGGACAATGGGCAGCCACCTCTATCCACAGCAGCCACATTGAACGTGCTCTTGGTGGATGGATTCTCTGAGCCATATATAAAGCTCCAAGAATCTACCGCTGAGCCAGTCCAGACTGATTCTCTCACCCTCTACTTGATCATTTCTTTGGCTTCTGTCTCTTTTCTCTTCCTATTCTCCATCATTGGGTTCACTGTACTACACCTATGGAGGAAGAAAAGAGAAGCTTCAGACAGCAGCCACTTTGGGCCCAGTGGTCCCTTCCCAGGCCATTTGGTGGATGTCAGTGGCACTGGGACTCTGTCCCATAGCTACCAGTATGAGGTGTGTCTGACCAGTGGTTCTGGGACTGGTGAATTTAAGTTCTTGAAGCCAATTATCTCCAGTGTCCCTGCTCACACTAATGGCAAGGATTCAGAAGAAATTGCTACCTTTCGGAATAGCTTAGGCTTCAGTTAGAGATGAATTTTCCCCCCAATAATTCTTTCAAGAGCAGTTCTTTTTCTCTGCCTCTGAATGAAATTTTAAATAATTTTAAGGATTTGTTCTTTATGTGTTTTCCAAATTTTAAATGTTCTTTTCCACCTTTGTATAATAAAAATTGATCATGTCCTTCAGATCATGTCCTTCCATGGCATTACTTGTAAAGGCTTTTGTGCATAATATTCCTTAAAATATACTTCTCCTGTCTATAACCAAATTCATCCTCAAATAAAATAGATTTCAACTATCAGTGAGCATGTATGAGGCTGCAGTTTCTTTCTGAGCCTTTTTACTCACCTTTAAATGAGTTCAGTTATGCACAGCTTATGTATTTTTTAAATCTCATGAGTTTTCTCTGCGTATTTCTATTTCCAGTAATTGCTATGAAATAGACTATATCCCCAGGCCCAATTTTAGTTACTGTATAAGGTCGTTATTTTCTCTTGTTGTATTATGTGTGTGGATGTAGCAGATGCTCAGTAGGTTGAGGATTTTTTTCTCCTTTTTTGTTAGGATTTGTTAAGTCATTCTTTTCTCAAATGTAATGATTTTCATCTGATTCTATGAAGATATACTGTGTTCACCAAGTAAGAAAATATATGTGAACCATATCTCCTTTCCTTTCAATCTACCATTGAAAGAACCAT